TGATTAGGAAAATAAGATATATCGAGTGCTTTCCGGTCCTGCTAAGGTACATGTACTTTACCGAATAGCAATATAGTTTATCAAAGTAATACATGAAAACTTTATTTGATTGGTTTGAAAGTGTTACCAATCTATTTATTATATCAAAATCTGCCAGACAACATGTTTTTATAATTATATTATGATTATTTTTACGATTATTAAATATATTATTAAATAGATATATCGAGTGCTTTCCGGTCCTGTGAAGTTACATATACTTTACCGAATAGCAATTTAATTTCTCAAACAATCACATAAGATCTTTGTTTAATTGTATTGTAAATGTTACCAATCGATTTATTAGGTATGATACAGTATTATTTCATGTTTTATTCTAAATTCTATGATTATTTAAAAGATTTATGAATGTTAAATAAATTGAGAATGCTTTCCGGTTTTGTTAAGTATATGTACATTACCGAATAGCACTCGAATTTTCCATAAAAAAACGTACAACCTTCATTGTATTGAATTGAAAACGTTACCAATAGATTTATTAGGAAAAAAAATCTCCCAGACATTATGTTTTTATAATTATTATTACGAATAAAAAAGTTTAAAAATAGATATTAAAATAGATATATAGAGTGCTTTCCGGTCCTGCACATTCCATTATTGCTTTGCGGTCCTGTAAAGAAAATAATAGTAAATACATCACCGAAAAAGCACTGGTCCTCTTACCTCAGACATACCGATGGTATATAAATATTTAAAATGTATGTACCTTGTCTAATATATTAATATATTTATTTGTTGTAGGCTATATGGAAGACAAGAGGATTTCAAAATAGCAGGAAGAGAAGAACAATAATTGTTTCAGTGATGTTTTTTTATTTTTGACAATAAACAGTGCAATAAAATAAAAATAAACGAAACTAATTACTAAGAACAAAATAAACAGATATAAAACAGAACTTAGCAAACATATATACATACATAATTGAAAAATAAGTATGATATTGAAATCAATCAAGGTACACTTCACGCCTCGTTTATTACACGGGCACACGCTGATAAAATTGAACGGACACACGCTGATTTAATTATCACATTTAAAGAGGTGTTAATAATACACAATAGCTGGATGTATTTAACTGATCGATTATTTGAGGTATTATTTATGATATTGAAATGTCATTTAAACTTAAAATTTAATTATATTTACAAACAGTGATGTGTTCAAAACAAAATCAACAAATAACTATCTCATTATTATATACATATAAAACTACAAAATATATATACATAGGCAGACCCCTAGATTTTTTTTTATTTAATATTAATATCAATGCATATTATATTATGGTAAATCCATTTCATTTCGAGTATGGGCTAGACTATAGCCTGATGAGCATAAATGACATCTTAAGACACACTCGAACCTACTATTTGCGATCGTGAATATAAATTTTATATAATATACATTGATATTGATACTTAATATTTATGTTCAACATATTTTTTCCAACATAAATTTTCAGCACTGTGAAGAAGAAAAAAAATGTTTGCAACGTACGTATGAAAAATTTGCAATTCCAGACAACAAAAATGAATGTCATGTCAATGTCATCGGTCATAGATAAATATCAATACACCGGGTAATAACGGCATGCACAAATATCAGTGCAAACTACGCAGAGTTTTGTGTAGCTTAAAAACATATTAACGTATTGTTGATAAAAACGGCCCTTTTAACATATATTACGAAAGAAATCCAGATTTATATTGTCAATTTGTTTATCAATAAAGCTTTTTACATATTAAAATATTTTTTTTGTTACATGTGCCATTTAATTTTCAGGTTCTGCGCATAAATTACGTAAGTTAGTAATAGAATGGGTTCAAGTATAGAATACATCAACAGATATAATATGTCTTCTTCTTCGGATTACATTTAGAAAATAATGTTGATTATAAATTTCTATATTCATATATGATAAGTCTTAACGATTGTCTTGCCACTATATCATGCATTAACATGCCTCCAGATGATGTACTAAGCTTTTAGGCAAAGTAAGAGATATTCCAATTTAGATTTAATAGCACTACTAGCATTTACAGAAAAAATATGGTAATGGATTAATTTTGTTGAGGTTTATATACAATTTTATTCAAATAATAAAAAATACTTATTTTTGTCTGTTTTCTTTTGCTTAGTACTCATCTGAAAATTGTCTTATTAAGTTGCATTCCTAATTTTTTTTTCTGTTTTTTTTTTCATTGTTTATGTTTAAACTAAATCTTGCAATATTCTTACTTAATAATTTAATTGAAATAGCTATCCTGCCATATATTTTTGTGTAAATATCATTTGTTATCTAGGGAGAGGAACTATATAAGTTTTCTTTCGTTATAATCCCTTTCAATTTATGTAACAATTATTCACATATAAAATGTAATATATGTAAAATATTGAAATAAATATGTTTAAACTAAATAAGAGTAAATTTTAATAGCACCTTGATATAAAGTTCTAAGAGATTCCGTATATATCCGTTACAAACATTTCTTTTCATGATGATGAGTGCCGTAATAATCTTCATTAAACAAAATTAATTTTTATATCAAAAGAGTGTGTAGTTAATTGCAATTTCTAATTATCTAATTTAATGTGCATGTAAAGGACAGTGTCTAATTAATGCAACTTTGATGTGCAGGTCGGTACTCTCAATTATCATAATTGTGTACAATTTGATTAAATCATCACCTTTTTGTGCTACAATATACAAGGTCTTTAATCAGCATGGATTAGCACGTGTGATAAACAATACAACAACTACTGTCCTCCACTGATGACCACATTGCTTTTCGGTACACATAGTATGGTAAAAATAAAGGACCATAACTGAACGAAAATTTATAAGTTTTTCTTTATTTTACATAATATGAAAAAAATAATAAAAATATGGTTCCCAAAAAATTTGAATAACTTATTTTTATTTTTTTCAATTTCCCCTTTTTTGTCCTTCACACAACCTATTAAAAAATTTGAAAAATATACATTGATATATGGGATGAGCAAGATTTAAAAAACGTGTAATAATAAAAATTTTAAATGAAATTAAATTCCCCTTAATTTTAAACAATTTATAAACCCCTTTCACATAATTTTAAAATGAAAAGGGTAAAATGTTTATTTATATAAATTTTTCGAGTGGTATTCGGTAAAGTAGATGTTTCTTTAGGGCCCTTTAAACCGGGAAACAAACAATTTCAAAATTTGTAACAACTTTGGGAAAAACGCGTAATTTAAACATAAAATTATTTTAAAAATTCATTTATATACAAAATCTTCAAAATACTAAATAGATTTGGTAACACTTTCAAACCAATAAAAATAAAGTTTTCATGTATTAATTGGATAAACAATATTGCTATTCGTAATGTACATGTATCTTAGCAGGACCGGGAAAGCACTCGATATATCAGTTTTCCTAAATACTCGTAATAATTATCATTATATATTTATAAAAAACATGTTGTCTGAAAAGATTTTGATCTAATAAATCGATTGGTAACACTTTCAAACCAATAAAATAAAGTTTTCATGTATTAGTTTGATAAAACTATATTGCTATTCGGTAAAGAACATGTATCTTAGCAGGACCGGAAAGCACTCGATATATCTTATTTTCCTAAATAATCGTAAAAAATAATCATAATATAATTACAAAAACGTGTTGTCTGAAAGATTTTGATATAATAAATCGATTGGTAACACTTTCAAACCAAATAAATAATAAAGTTTTCATGTATATTAACCCTTTATTTAAAAAAATTGCATCCGGGGGAAATTTTTACATTTTTTTTCTTAAAAGGGGGGCCCGGGAAAACACTCGATAAATCTATTTCCAAAAAACTCGTAATTTAAATTTTCAATTTTATAAATATAAAAATGACTTTTTCTAAAGATTTTGATCTTTAAAAAATCCCATTGGTAAAACTTTTCAAACCGATTAAGTTCACGTTTTTATTTGTTTTTATTTAGAAATTTGGGTGCTTCCCGATTTTGGTTTCTATCCCGGGGCCCTTTTCCGGGTTTTTTTATGCACCAATTTATTTTGCATGGGTTTTTTTGTTTTTTATTTTTTCTATAGGGTTGTAAAAAGATATTTTTGCCGTTTTTAAAACGGATTTGACAAAAAGTAAAAAATAGTTCAAATTTTCCGGGGGTTTTTCGGGCTAAAAATTTGGTATGTTTTTATTTTAACAGTAACTGATTAAAAATTACCCCGGGAAAATCGACGGGGCCCCAAGGGCCCCCCGGGGCTGTAGCGGGTCTTAAAAACTGTATGACCCCGTTTTTCCAAATTTTTTTAAAAATTTTAAAAATTTCCCAAAAAATTAAAAAAAAAAAACTGAAAATTTTTAAAAAAAATATAAATTATTATCCTTTTAAACCCAAAGAGCTTTTGAAAAAAAAATTTTGTTAAATGGCGGGCCCCCTTTAAAAACCTTTTGAGGGTAAAATAGATATCAGAGTGCTTTTAAGAGCGTTTTTATTAAATTTAGACCCCATTTTAGCAGACGCATGCTAAATTTAAAAATCCGGTTTAAAGAAAAGAAGTTTCAGAAACAAAATAATAAACCGGGATTTTCAAAAAATTAAAAATTAAAGTAACGATTATAAAAATTAAAAATTACTTCAACATATCCTTTTTGATAAATTAGCACATTAGAAATAACGTTTAAACAACAACTGTGATTAGAGATTAACGGGATTTTCCAAACGCCGACGCATGCGCAGTGGCCCCTTTTTAAGTTCCGAATGATAGGTTGAACACCACCAATTTATTCGTTTTGTTTATGCTACAAAAAACCTGCAAAAAAGATCTTGTTTACATGTAAACTAAACATGTTATGCTAAAATCATAATACATAAGAGCTTTCCGCGCCATAGGTAGCACCTAATTTCATATTATAAATTAATTATAAACAGACAAAATGATTGTTTTTACCAGTCGATCGCGATCCAAATGAAATACATTTACTGTCTTGTCATAAGAACCCGACGCAAGCTTTCTACCGTCCGAGTTCCAATCTACAGAATGAACTTTTGAAGAATGAGCTGCGAATTCGCGTGTTTTACCATTGTTTTTAAAATAATTTTGCATATTTTCCAAGAAAGACGCCATTTTTTTGCCGGCGGTGATCGTTTTATTATAATTTTGTCAAAATAACTTCAGACATCCAATTCGCATCTTCTCGCCTCTTTCCGTCAAACTTCGGATAAGGACAATTGTCGAAATGTTCCGAATGATCGCGAGAAACTTCGGGAAAATTGTAAATACGAGTGACTTCTGAATTAAATTAATTTTCATCTTATAAGCCAATGTTAATATTTTCAGAATGGCTGAAAAGCTAAAGGAACAGGTTTGTTGTTATATTTTTCTATAAAAATGTTACGCAGGGGCATAACAAGTCGACAGGTTAGAAAAAGGAATAATAACTTTTCGTCCCACACAAGTTTCGACCCATCTGAAAAGCGTTTTATATTTTTAAAGTACCAGTGTTCATAAAAGGATTTTTTTTTTCGTTTTCTGTTTTAAAACCAATTTAATACAGGTTTGGTTATATGTTTGCGGTCATTGGACCTATCCTAGCTTCTGGACAATTAACCAGTATAGTGGTAGTTCTGGCATCTAAAACTTTATAAGCCGCTTTTTAACATTTTTTTTTCTTTTTCATCTGATGCGGCAATAAAGTTTTGGATTAGACTCGTTACAAAACATAACTTTTGACTTAACCTTATTTTTATTAGCGAATAACCATATCCCAATTAATTCTTGTGCATTTTGCGATAAAACAATTATTTTAGTATCGTTCTCTACCAGTGTAAGAAATTAAGATTTGAATCGACTAGGCTGGTCCGACTACATCTACATCGTACGTCGGCGCAATCACACTTGATTAAAACGCCACGGGTGGTGCTAGGTCAGAAAAAGAAATATACAAGAAATGATAGAAAGTTAGAAGTGGTTGGATGGGTCAAAGATCTACCAGATTGGAATATTTACTAGCCCAAAAGACGTTTCACTAGTACGATTCATTTGTTCAAAACAGTTGTTTATATTGCCTCTAAAAATACAGTAGCCTGGTCGGTCTTGTTACTGTGAAAAGTTGGCAGCCCAAGGAGAAATTTAGTAGTCTGGGGCTATATGACTACTGCTAATTTCGAACACTGCTATACCATTTAACCCTTTATTTCATATAGATGTGAAATGGCCTCCGGTCGATCGTAAGGTAACGTGTAACCAAGGCTGAAAAGAGTTAAAGTATCAAAATATTAATACTGTCATAAAAAATTGCCTATTTAACTGTGAAACATCAATTATGCCAACTACAGTCGGCCATGATATTTAGGAGCTATTCGAGACCTTTTATGTCATAATAAGTGGGAACCGATAAGAGTTACTATAGAGCCATGTACTATTATTAGAACATCTTTGTTGACATGATTTCAATACTTATAATTTAAGATAATGTTTTTATTTATATTCTTTAAATTTTTAATACTCAGGCAACATGTTATATTTCCAATTGATTTTAGACATAAGATTGAGTGGTCTCCATTTTGATTCTGATAGTTACCTATAAATTATCTTGACATTCTTCAGGTTAGTTTTTTAAATTCAGAAATTTCATAAAAAAATCTTATAATCTTTAATTCTTATTTAGATAACCAGAAGAAATATACTCACTGTAATAAATTTGAATATTTTATTTGTTTTTAGACTGATAACCAGTTGGTACCAGTGAGCTATGGACCAAGTAAAGCTGTGGTCCCTTTGAAGGAGGTTCGGTCAGATGCTGAGGTCAAGCATGGAATAGTTCATTTCTCAACCCACATTGCTCCCCTGCGTTTGCACACTAATCTCAATATTCCTCCATCTAATTGGTTAAGAAGCTCCTCTAAGCTCGAGCAACATGTTCATGATCTCACATGGCGAAGCTCACGTAAACCGTCAGAATTTTCCAGGTTTGCTTGCATGAATTTTCAGCATATTTATTGTACAAGCTTTTGATTTTTATCACGTAATGAGATTAATTTGTCCTTTTTGTACAAAAATTTCTTTGAAATATTTTTAACAGAAAAGGCCCCTGGCATGAATTGTGAAAAAACATATACAGCATTTTAGAAAACTTGAGAAAAATATTAAAAAGTTGGAATAACTCCCTTGAATGTGACTTTTATGGATTTTACCTGTGTAAAATAATGTTTATAACTTTTCACTTATTTGATTTATTTCTCAGAAGTTTAATCAGTTTCATTTTTAGACTGATGTATTATTATTATTTTTTTTTTAATGGGAAAAAATTAGGCTATTTTGAATTGGGAATGGGGCCTTCTGTCAATCTGTGGTGACCATGCCCTGCATTGTTAAAAATATCTGCAGTTTATAATATAGGAAGTGTAATTTGAGAAAGCACTACTGAACATTTACACAAGCATAATTTCACCAGCTGCTGAAGCTAAATACAGAAAACATTACATATATAAACATGACTATAATTATTTGAGTATTCAATCTCCTGGAAGCAAAGTAATTAACCTTTACCACGAGTACAAAGCCGTGCCAGTCTGAAGTCTGACCAGGCTCTATACAATTATTAGATCTGTCATCAGTTTCTATATTTTCATATTGTAAATGCATTTACTTTGAATGGACTGTATCAAATATAAAGCTAGGTAAATTAATTTCAGAAATGAGTTATGTTTTCATTATTTCAGTATTGACATGTCCCACAAGTCACCTGACCTAGCTGGTGAAGTAGATGTCATAACACATGCTGCTGTATGTATGAATTATGTTAAATTCTATACATGTTTGTATAAATCAAATTTGAAATAATATACAGCTGGGTTATTGATATATATTAACCTTGAAATAACTATTAATGACCTTGATGTAAACACAAAAATGACTATATATTTATACCCCCAAAAACGAAGTTTGGGGGGGTATATAGGAGTCACCCGGTGGTCGGTTGGTCGGTCGGTCGGTCGGGCGGTCGGTCGGTCGGTCCAGACGTCCGTTGCATTTTCCTTGTCCGGACCATAACTTGAAGACTAATGGTTTGAATTCAATATAACTACATACAATGGTCAAGCACATTGAGAGGAAGTGCAGTGCACAAGAACCATAACTCTATCTTGACTAATTACAGAGTTATTGCCCTTTGTTACTTTTCCTTGTCCGGGGCGTAACTTGAAAACTACTGGTTGGAATTCAAAACAACTTCATACAATTGTCAAACACAATAAGGGGAAGTGCAGTGCACAAGAACCATAACTCTATCTAAAGTAATTACAGAGTTATTGCCCTTTGTTACTTTTCCATTGCTTTCTTTTGTCCGGACCATAACTTGAAGACTAATGGTTGGAATTCAATATAACTACATACAATGGTCAAGCACATTGAGAGGAAGTGCAGTGCACAAGAACCATAACTCTATCTTGACTAATTACAGAGTTATTGCCCTTTGTTACTTTTTCCTTGTCCGGGGCATAACTTGAAAATTACTGGTTGGAATTCAAAACAACTTCATACAATTGTCAAACACAGTAAGGGGAAGTGCAGTGCATAAGAACCATAACTCTATCTAAAGTAATTACAGAGTTATTGCCCTTTGTTACTTTTCCATTGCTTTCTTTTGTCCGGAGAATAACTTGAAGACTAATTGTTGGAATTCATTATAACTTCATACAATGGTCAAGCACATTGAGAGGAAGTGCAGTGCACAAGAACCATAACTCCATCTTGACTAATTACAGAGTTACTGCCCTTTGTTACTTTTCCATTGCTTTTTTTTGTCCGGAGCATAACTTGAAGACTAATGGTTGGAATTCAATATAACTTCATACAATGGTTAAGCACATTGAGAGGAAGTGCAGTGCACAAGAACCATAACTCCATCTTGACAAATTACAGAGTTATTGCCCTTTGTTACTTTTCCTTGTCCAGAGCATAACTTGAAAACTACTGTTTGGAATTCAATACAACTTCATACAGTTGTCAAGGACATTAAAAGGAAGTGCAGTGCATAAGAGCCATAACTCCATTTTGACAAAATACAGAGTTACTGCCCTTTGATACTTTTCCTTGTCTGGAGCATAACTTAAAACATACTGGTTGAAATTCAAAACAACTTCATACAATGGTCAAGCACAAAAAGAGGAAGTGCAGTGCACAAGAACTATAACTCCATCTTCAGTATTTATAGAGTTATTGCCCTTTGTTCCTTTTCTTTGTCTTTCTGGACTTATTAATATTACAGAGTAATTCAATAAAACTTCATCAATGGCCAACCACATTGAAAGGAAATGCAATATACAAGAACCACAACTATCTTTAATTGCCCACATCCATAACTCTATATTTCAATTCTTTTACAAGGTATTCTGTTACTAGTAACATCCTCATTTCCGAAGCAGTCTTGTGGGGGTATTAATCACATTTAGTGATAGTTCTAGTTTGGTTTAAAATAAGCAAATCATGATATTGACTTTAAAATAGTCAGTTATTATTGGCATTGAAATTAATAAGTAGTAAATGTGAGAGGTAAAATCTCATTTGTAGTGATTTCTCAGTGATGTGCTGTATATTATTTTGAGGAGGAGACAATGATTGCTTTTTCCTTAATTTTTTTCTTATACTACATATATATGAGCAGCGTCACGACAAAACCAACATAATGCGTTTGCGGCCAGCAGTCTGATCAGGATCCATGCTGTTCGCTTACCAACTCTATTACAAGTAGAGAAACTGATAGCGAACAGCATGGTCGCAAACGCATTATGTTGGTTTTGTCGTGATGCGGCTCATATATATATTACATAATACAATTTTCATGTCATGTATTACATGTATTACAGAATATAAAGAAACTGCTAAAGATACCATTTGAGAATTCTCACATCAGTATGATGGTCCATAGAGTAGGCAAGTCATTGTTGCTGGACGAGTTTGATATTCATAAACATTTATTAAGGAAGGAACAGGTAATGTGTTCACTGTAACATTTATCCTGCCTTAATTTTGTAATGGACTGGTCTTGCATTAAAGGCACATTATGCCTTAGAAATCTATATTTATAGAATTCTTTGGAAATGCCAAACGTGGGTTTAATAATGTTTAAATAATGGATTTAGAGTATGTTGAACAGCTAAAGATTAAGTAGCACTGAATGTGCACTAATGTGCTATAAAGGTAGCAAAATGAAAACTAGTAGTATTTTGACTTCAATACAAAAAATTTATTCACAATAATTATACCAACTGCCAACAAAGCACAAGAAGCCAAGCAGGCCTCAATGAATTTTTCTAGGGTCACTCTGCCTTCACAAAATGTACTTGCCCTGCATTTTGATACATGTGAACAATAAGATTATAATTTTTTCTGTTACAGACGGAATGGGCTTGGCTTAGGCAGTTCTATTATGAATATGTGCTGGACAATGTAAGTAACCTATTTTAACATATCATAATTGGAAGTACCTTGAAATGTGACTATGATAATAAGAATGTGTGCCCATTCAATCCATGTCTTAACTGATAATGACAAGGTAAAATTGTCAGTTGTAATAGAGATGAGGGTGTCCTTTTGTCCTGCATGTCTCCAGAAGAATCTACCTGTATATCACAAAGTTTAAAAATTATCTAGATATTTTAAGTCTTAACTTACTCTTTGTCATTTGATACCTTAAATGTATAATTGTCAGTCTGCATATTTGAGAAAGCTGATTTCACTGTAAAAAGTATCAAAAGATGTTTTACTTTGAAATTTGTAGTAATAAATAAATCTCAGTTACTAAACTTCATGATCCAAACAATATGGAAAAAAAATTGTTTTAAATAGTTAAATTTAGACTTTTTTGTCCCTCCCTAGAAGCTGAATTACTCATTTTTTTTTACATATATATAAAGAAACAAAACATATATTTATATATCCCTTAAACAAGATATTTCATGTCAAGTTTTATTATTTAAGATTTATTTGACTAACCTGGAGGGCTGACAGCTTTAAAGGGATTTCAATATATTTATATATATATATATTTATTTATTTATTTATCTATTTATTTATAGATGAAATGTGTACCAAGACAGAGTAAGAGTAGAGATAATCTACAGAACAGAAATATGTACTCCAAGTTCCTTTATCACAGGCAAGTTGTTTATGTCAAGAAATAGACCATTCCTTTCCTCAACTTTCTTCCATTTAAGATAAAGTTTTTATTCAGCTATTCTAATGACTATTGCCAGTTACATACATACATTAATACTTGGCAATAAGTATGATAAAGAAATTGATACATAGCTAAGCCCACATTAACATGATTATGTACCTCAATAAATTTGCAAGACATTTAAATAGGCAGTATTGGTTGAACACATAATTCTAATGAGTCGTAATGTCCGAGTTGATATAGGAATATAGAAAAAATTGATCCAAATCGTTGCAGGGATCAAAAAAAAATAATTCAGAACCACTCATTCTGCAGGACGAGTAGCTTCAAATTTCTACTGATTCTTCATGCTATGCTTCTCTTCCTGCATACTACGATTTTGTACTCGTCCATTTCTACTAGTAAATATGAGAATACGAGTGGAATTTTCTATCCTTGCATTGAAATTTTTTGTATAAAGTTGTAAAATTGTCAAATATTTTCATTCTTGGTTTATGCCGTGTTGGGCTTTCTTTAGGGATTCTTATTTTCTTTATTTTATAATTGAAATTTTTACTTATTAAGTTGTAACATTGTTAACTATTTTCAGTCTATGTGAGTCAGCAGAAAGTGGTGTATGTATGATCAATCAAGGTTTAATGTCAAATGAGGATAAGACGGTGATTCCTGATCCCTTACCAAAGGTAATTTAAATATGTGACAGTGATTACCATATATACCCATGTAAACACTCCATCTACACACATAATCGCATTTTGAGTGAAACATTTGTACAAGTGTAGTGATTATTGCTCTTACAATACTCCCCAATACTCTTGTGAAGTAATTAAACCGATTTTGATTTAATTAATCTTTCTAGTTACATCAATTAGTAAAAGTATCTAAAACACATACACATCTGTGTATCTACAGTACCATTAAGAATTTACTCTACATGAATTAAGACTTCATTAATGATTCTGTGTAGTTTTCAATAGAATTGTTCATCCAATCTTTAATCTGCTTAAATTTTATTAATATCTTGCTTTTATTTGATTTTGACCTTGTCTGTTAGTAAAAAAGAATTTAAAAATCAAAATGAAAAGAAATTGTTAACACAGCCAGCACTCACTGTACAGACTCTGGTTAGAATGCACAAATAATAATAGGCCTGTCTGTATTACCATTTCTCTGTTATAAGTATATGGAGGATATTTGTTGGAATTTTTTGTTTTTTGTATGTAAGATCAAAATTAATCTCACAGATTTAACACTAGATGTAGTAATAAGTGACTATGCAAATGTTTTATTTACTTCATGCTATTTTATTGATTGTAATTACTGATTTTGCCAGATAGGGACATGAGAATACTACTGTGAAATTAAATCATTTCACTCTTTGATTATCTATATTTTATCTTAGTAGGTTATACATTGTATATGTCATAATTGGCTTTACTGCCTTGTTTACTTGTGACCAAATCTAAGTTTATTATATGTAACTTAAATTGTATTAGAGTGACAAAAACAACAACATTACTTAGAAAAGAAGAAATAACAGCAACAACAACAACAATAGTTGAAGGATTGCCTTGAAACAGGGTATTCTGCAATTAAGTCTTAACATTATTATAGCAGTGATTCCTTAACATGAATTCTCACATAACAAATGCTTTACCATACAGTTTCAATATCAGCCTGAGAATAATTTAAATTGTATAAAATGTAGTTTGAAAGTCAAAGCAGGCAAGATGAATTAGGTGATAAGAGAGGTAATTTGTATTATTTGTTACAAATAAGAACAGTATAGAATTATTTTGTATTCAGGCAGCTGGAAGTCAGACCCATCGTGATGTGTTATGGACATTTGAAGATATTAAGATGTTGATTGGAACAGATTTACCAGTATTTTGTGATGACAGCTACTGTGTTAGTCTTAGACTCAGGTAAAATTGTCACAGGAATATTTTTGTACATTTAGTTATTCTTAGGAAATGTTTCGGGAAAACTAAATGTTGATAAAGTTCTGTAGTGCTTAAGTATGAACATATATATATATGATGAAAAATAATATTTTGATCTAGAACACTTTATTATCTGCTATATATTGATCATGTTACTTACAAAAAATATCAATACATAATTCTTACGTGATTTGTTCTCCAGGGCTGCAGATAATATGCGTATTTGCGTTATTACCCAATTAAAATGTCTAAAAACCCAATAGAAATAATAACTAAGGGTAAGAAAAAGTAAATGAATTCTTATTTATGCAAACTACATTTGAACTGGTGCGTAATGACGTAAATTATTACTTAACGCGTACATCAGGCAGATCATACTGTTTCAGACTGTTTTAACCTTTAAATTATATCTGGCAGCTTGGAAATCTCCAAGGCCAACAAACCATAAAGCAAAGTAGTAAGTAGCTTTTTTATAACCATACAACCCTACAACAGTCTACAATTTTGGTCAGAAATTTTGGGTAAAATACATGAACTCGTGCTTTATAACCCAAATTGGTTAGAGGGGGTAGGGTAAAAAATACAGAAATAACTCAAAGAAAATAGAAAAAACCCAATAGATCACAATACAAGGGGTAATTACCCAATATAAACAAAATGTTATCTGTAGCCCTGCTGTTCTCACATTGATACTATCTATCAGCATAATTATTTATGGTATTACAGAATTTCATTATACACCAATTCACTTAAAGCTGCCCATGTTTTTATACCTATATGTAAGGAGTGAAATATTTAACAAAAATACTTGTTTGTTCACTTTGTCACTCAAGATTATTGATGAATCTTTAAAAAAAGCTGCCATTTAATTCTAAATAACATTGAAAATCAAATATTGATATTTGATACATTGATATCGAGGTATCATAACATTAATTTATATGACTAAATTGTGTTGCATATCTAAAGTAGGTAATGAAGTTACAATTAAAAAAAAAATTGAAATTGCTGTATGAAATTGAAATAAAATTTAGAAAATCATTATTCGGTGCACATGAATAGAGCGAAAATCAGATCTTTGTGGAAAAAAACTTGATATGCAGGATTTATGAAAAGGTGCATTGTTTTCAAATATATGCACTTTAGATTCAGAATTTAAGATAAAGTGTAAATTTTTAAAAAATTGATATCGGCCTTACATGAGTTTTTATTGCACATTCACCAATCTATATTTGTCTGTATTCTGTACAACAGCTTTTAAAAATGTTTTTCCTTGTTTCATTGAAATGATAAAATTTTATTATAACTTGTTACAGCGACATGAGGACTCCAGTAAATGTGTTAACAGGCCTGGACTATTGGTTGGATAACTTAATGTGCAACGTCCCAGAAGTAGCCATGTGTTTCCATGTGAATGGTATTGTACAGAAATATGAGATTGTTAAAACGGAGGACATTCCTCACCTAGAGAACTCCAGATTTGATCCAACAGTTGTGACAGACATAGCCAAGAACATCCTGTCATTCCTAAAAACCAACGCCACTAAAGAAGGTCATACATATTGGCTGTATAAAGGTAGGTATAACATTTCTAATGTTAACCCATATTTTACCTTGTGATCAAATGGTTAAACTAGTTGATTTTGAAACACCTGGGCTGTTTTGCGGTGGTTTAGATTCTCAAAAGAACAAAATTTATACTGAGATATTGATAGGTCTGTGTAGGAATTGGCTGTACTGCTTTGGAACATCTATTTCAAGCTAGTAACTAATCTGAGTACTTAGGAACTGGACTCTCTAGCCAGAAACTGGTCCGGCTACCATTAACCCTATATTACATTATTATTAGGTATTACTTATTTCACATGATTATTAAGCTTGCATGAATAGGAAAATTTCCTGCATGCATTATTAATTTTGAATTTGAATTAATATAGGTACAAATGATGACGTGGTGAAACTTTATGATCTGACAACAGTGTGTAGTGACATGGAGAAGAACTTTTCAGAACAGAATCCCTTCACAGTTCCTCTTGGCATGCTGTTGTACAGAGTAGCTCGGAAAATGTGGACAGATCAGAAATTAGCTAAAACAGCCCTCATTAGAACACTCCTGGAGAATTGTCTTTGTCTTTTAGATGAGAAGAAACATTCTCAGGTAAACTTTGCATCCATGTTAAAATCAAGTATTAAAGCTTAATACAACATTTTAGACTTGACTTTTTGAAAAATAGGGAGAGTTATTATACACTTAGGTGTCACTGTTAGTATCATGCTTTGGTTAAGTTTTTGCGTGAGAGTTGGAATCTCCAAAACTACTGAAGTGAATGGGTTGAAATTTCACACATTAATTTGAGATCATAATAGGAGGTAACTAGCCAAGGCTCATCTCTCTAACAAGGATTTTGACAGAATTAAAGCCCTTTTTGAACTAAGAAATTCTACATCTCAGGCTCTTGTTTTACTATCAAGCACTGAGAATAGTCGGGAATGTTGTCCTGACCTATTGTGTGTAATAAACAAATTACTGAGAGATATTTGGTTCCACTGTTATCACAAGCTATTGATGAATTACACCTTTTCATGGTATATACAAACAATAATGTTAGAGAAGTAGATGTAAAATACTATAAGTGACCTATTTAATACAATTTTGATTTCTTAAATAGGTTAATGCTGAACTACTAAAGAAAAATTATTTTGCTTAAAGCAATTTTAGTTATCACCAAAAACACGGTTTTCTATCCAGTAGTGCAGATTAGCTATTGAAAAGTTCACTAAATTGCTGTTACAATGCTTTGTATGTATATTTATATTTTAAGGTGTGTACATCTGCTAGCTACCTTCTATCAGACATTTATGTACCAGATAAATCTCTAGATGATGATTGGTCACTACCTATAGAGGCAGAGGAAGAGGAGAATGGCAATGAGGAACAGGGACAGGTGAATATGACTATATTTCTTTGGTTTAAGTAGATATCTAATATGTCTTACTGGTTAGCTGTATGAAAATTTCCAAATACCGGATCATCTATATTATATTATATAATCTATTTTATTATATAATTATAGATTTGATATTGATAAAATAAAATGCATATTTTCATTTTTCCTATTTTCACTGTAAAAATCTATTTCTCATTGCAGTGAAACATATTTTCTGTATTTTCACTGGTGCCTTGCCAAACTTCTTTCTTATAAATTCAGCCAATATACAAAATTTAACCTTTTCCCATTTATAAGCGTGTTTCGACGGCTTTTTGCCCCCCCCCCTCCTTTTTGAGTCCTCAAACAGTGAAGAAATGCCCTATTTAGGCCCCAAACACTGGTTTTCGTTTGAGAAATGTTGTTAAAAAAAAGTGACCACTTTTACGGCGCCGTCCCCCATCCAACGTTACATCAGGGGGGTGCCAGAGGGGGCGGAGTCAGAGTTGGACATGTGACAGGCTAAAGATGGCCTCAGGTGGATCTTAGGGTATCTAGTAACCGACGCTGAAAAGCCTTTTACTCTATCTCAATTCATTGAGAAGTTGCAGCCCTTTGAAATCAGTTTTGATGGGGAAAAAAAGTGAAATAGTGATTTTTGGCAATTTTGAGACGTCCCCTGTTGCCATGGTAACAGGAAATTTACGATTGAGCATGCTGTTACAGAGGTTATGGTGTAGTCAACATTTGTGCCAAGTTTCATCAGTATTGAAGCATTTTTCATAGTTTCATAGCAGTTTGAACTTGTTACAGGAGGCTTTTCAATGAAAACGGACATTTTTCGCAATATGCTCATGGGGTAAAAGGTTAAGGGGAAGTTTTTCAAATTGTAATCCCCCATAAAAAGAGAAAATTGTAAAGAATAAACAGAAAATTTGAGTTTATGCTATAAATACAGGATTTATTTTCATTTTGTGGTATAAAAATTACCATATTTCACTTGTGCTTACTGCCACACATGAAATAATTATTTTCATACAACACACTGAGAAGTTGAATATCTTCTATATATTTTATATGTAAAATTATATACATGTACATGTATATCATAGTATATTTAAACAAACTTTGTATTATGTAATTGTTTGATTGCAATAGTTATTTTTATTATTAGTTGAAATAGATATTAAACTGTTGTGATTAAAATTATAGACAAATGAATGCACAAACTCAAAATGAGGGAATAATTTTAAGATCTGTCAATTGTGTCATTCCTTACAGTCACTTGATAGAGGGCTAAATTCCTTTTTACAGAAGAATGTGTAAATTTATAATCAAGATGAATGTAACAAAGTTCTACTCAGGTGCTGCCTTGTGCCAGAAATAATACACAGAGAGTTGTTTAGTTGAGTTGTTTAGAAGCGACTTGGAACCACTTGTCCCTCATCTTGCTGGTAGGAATCCTGCTAAGATGTTGAATTCTTTCATATTAGGAAGCTATCAGAAGATCAGTTGTTCTACACACAAGCCTACTTGTGCCTGAAATAATGCACATAGGTCCATCTGAGGTCTTCCGTCACCATTTAAGCTTAAAAGTTGCCTTAATAGTGTTGGTGTTACTTAAAAACCTAATCAAACATAATCACACAAACCAGCTGACTGCACAGAATACTAGATCCCCTGATGAAACCACCCTACAATTAAGACCATTTTACAAGACTAGGTACATGTATTATTGATGGTCTTTAAACAGGGATTTACAGCATTAAAAACCTAATTTACTCAGTTTACATGTAATTGAAGCTCACTCTCTTTTGAAATTTATGCTAGAAAAAAAAATATAGAAAAAAATTTTGACCCAGCTTTCAATATTGTCAGTAAGAAGAAACTAACTGAAAATATAAAAAAAAAATTTATTTTAGGATACTGAGGAAGTAAAGGAGATGTCAAACTCTGTTGATGTGAAAACATTATCTGAGAGGAGCAGTAGATCTCGCTCTAAAGAACTTGTACGAATGAAGCCATTCAATGAAACAGTTGATGAGAGGTGTACCGAAGCTGTGAAATGTATTCATAAGGTATATTGATTTGTAGTTCACTTCATTTAAATATTTTGTAAACCTGTGAAAACTTGTTTGAGTTGTTTGTTAAGATAATTGACTACAATGTGAATTTTTTTCTCACAACCAGTTTCAGTAAATGTTAGGATATTGAACAGTGTATACAAGGAATCTGTCTGTTACCTTCAATTTGTGATGTGTGTAGTGTATAGATATAGGTTAAAAGGACGTCTTATGAAAAACTTAAAACTTTATTTAATTCAAAGTGGATTAAAACTGTATGTACATGAAGTTTGATACGTTTTACCTGCTACACCCATTTTCAGGTCAGAAGGTAAAGGTCAGGGTCATTGAGAATTTTAAAAAGAAAACAAAACAGAAATCTGGCCATTAAATCAAGGTGTATTGACCTGAGAAACTTCAATCTTTGTAGATGCACCTGAACAAGTCTTACATGCCATACTCATTTAACCCATTACTTCATATACACGCCTTTTAACGCCTTTTTCACCCCCCCCTTTTTGTTGTCTCAAATGATGAAAAAATGCCTTATTTAGGCCCCAAACACTTGTTTTTGTTTGAGAAATGTTGTTAAAAAAAGTGACCTCTTTTTCGGCGCGGCCCCCCAACCAAAAGATACATCAGGGGGTTGCCAGAAGGGGGATGTGCCCCCTTCTGTTTGGGGGGTTTGAAGGGGGGCGGAGTCCCCCTCATCGCCAAGAAAATTTTGGACTTGTGAGAGGCTGTAAATGACCCCAGATTGATCATAAGGTAACGTGTAACCAACGCTGAAAAGCATTTGACTCTATCTCAATCCATTGAGAAGTTGCAGCACTTTGAAATCAATTTTGATGGAAAAAATCAACGCAAAATAGTGATTTTTGGCAATTTTGAGATGTCCCCTCGTTGCCATGGTAACAGAAAATTTAAGCCTGAGCATGTTGTTGCAAGGGCAATGGTCCATTGAACATTTGTGCCAAGTTTGATTAGTGTTGAAGCAGTTTTTATAGTATTATAGCAATTTGAACTTGTAACGGGAGACTTTTCAATGAAAACAGCCATTTTTCACAAAATGCTCATGAAGCAATGGGTTAATCTTCAACTATGATTTTGAAACTATATATGAGCCGCGTCATGACAATACCAGCATCCGCGCAGTCTGATCAGGATCCATGCTATTTGCTATCAGTTTCTCTACTTGTAATAGAGTTGGTAAGCTTTGGTCTTGTGACGCGGCTCATATGGAGAGATCTTGCCCATCAAGCAAAAGGTCAAGGCTAAATGTGATCTTATATTAAGATTATCTCATTGTTTACAATTAAGAGATTTCAAGGTTAAAATATAAAATTTCACAGTAATGCAGGCTCATCTGGATGCATGCTGGGTGCTAGTGGTATAGTGTTTAACTGCAAGATAAGTAGAGGAAATAAAAACTGTTTGAAGGCCTAGAGGTTTACATACATAGTAATTACTGGTTTTGTGTTTTAGTAGACTGTATAAATATAGAAGATAGATAGTAGGAAAAATGAAATTTATTGTATTTATACTTCAAAAATCAACTTTTTGTTTTCAAAATCAGAATGTTTTATTGACACTTTGATTACAGGGTTTGGCGTGTTTAGAATATGATTTAAAAGTGGGCTCACATAAACAATCGCATATTGTTGAAGAACAAGCAAAATGTGACTCGGACACGGCCATTCCCCTACATTATGAACCATTGAAGAAAACAGCAGCCACTGATAGCCCAGTGTTAGATACAGGGAGGTCTTCAAGAACAGGTGACCTTCAGATGACCTCGTTTAACAAGGAAGGAGATGAACAACCAGAGGGACAAACGTGGCATCATTTGTCAAAGGGTTTATTATATAGAAAGGCAGCAATGACATTTTCTGCAATGGCTAGAGGCTGTATGAATAAAGCTGAATATATAGAGGCTGTCAAATACTTGAAGCTTGCAATGTATTCATTAAGTAAGGATATTTTCAATTTATATATAGATTAATCTGTTTTTAAAAGTTCTCAAATTTTTGAGAATATAGTTTGCCTTAACCTTCTCTTCACCTTTCTTCCCCTTTCCTGCCTTATTTCAGACCAGCTTGACATTCTTGGAATGAAAAAGAATGAACTTTCCCAGATTCACTAATACATAATACATTTAGCACAGCTCATATAGTTTGGATACCAGGGCCGGCAAAATCTGATTTTGATTTTTACTTGTCCGTTTTTATCTAAGAATTTTTTTAACTTGTCCATATGATATTTATTTTATTTTTTTGAAAATTCAACTTGTCCATACAGGCTGTGGGACAACCTGCGGGTTGATTTTGCCGCTCCTGCATATGTAATTCATGTACAGTTCAAATATGAAAGTCAATTTATTTAAAAAAAATTATTGATGCATGTATATAATAAAAGAGGTTTCAAGAAAATGAAATTTTGGCAAAAGATGCCTGTCATTGAAAGGGTTTATTAATCCTTTGTAGGCAACATTTGTGTAATGGAATAATCCTGATTTTTACCTGTAAAACTTAACAAAAGAATTTTGATAAGCCAATAAAAGGGCATCTGTGGCAGAGTGAAGTGAAGTCTTTGAGTTTAAACCACTTACCCCTCACAGCTGTGGGATTGAATCCCACCTTTGGATAGTTTCATGTGTGGAAGCTATCCAGCTAGATTGCAGAATGCAGTAAAGCTTACAGTTAATAGATTGGAAAGACTGCTGGTTATGATCTCACCTGGTGGTGAAGACATTATCTGTGCTTGTATATTTAAAGCAGACGCAGCCTCCAGATTCATGCTAATTTTCATCAAACTTTTAAAATGTATTTAACAGTATGATATTGTAAAGTTACCAAAAGAATGCAATTTACACATTATAAATGGCACTTACAACCTATGTAAATTACCAAAAATATTTCAAAATATGCAAAAATAGCCCTTAAGCATTAGTAACGCAGTAGAAATAAAGTTATAAATACTGAAAAATCGGCCATAAATTGCACATAACATGTAAATTATTACCAGAATTTTGAATCTTTTTACTTTTACTAAAAGCTTAGTACATTTTTCTCAGGTTTGATTTTATTGAAATATTTTTGCTTATCTGGAGGCATGCAGCTTTAAGATTATAGAAATATTTGTAATATATTTCTGGGCGGTAAAGACAGCTCTTTAAATTGTTTTCAGATGCCATGAAAGTTGTGATACCTCATAAAGTTTCAGAGAATAGTGCCTTACTTTCTAATTTGATGGGTTTATGTGGTGACATTAGACTGGTTGTAACACAATCACATCACCTTGAAATCGACTGGGACACAACGTGGAAATCTTCTCCAACAGAGGAAACTGCAATTCTAGAAATGGCAGAAAAGGAATTTGAAAGCTTTGGTATGTGGTCATACATGTAATATAATACTTTCATATGAGTTTAAATTCATTTTTTTTTGCATATTAAAGGGTTTCCTTTGAGTGACTATTAGATTTTATTATTGCTAAGTTAAAATAAGATTTGTGTTGATACAAAGCAAACTAAAAGCATGCATTTAATCCTTTATTAATAAAATTATATATAATATATATTTTTCTTCTTTGTACATGCAGAATATGAGGGCATTTTCAAGTTTGGGTGTAGTGTACTAGACAGCTTGACTGTTTGTATTAACTGTTACAGAGAGGCAATCGATCTTATATCTAAGAAAAAAGGACATGTATACTTACCCCTGTGTAAGAGGAAGGGAAATTGTCTCAATGAATTAGGTGTCTTTTACATGCAGAGTGCACAGAAATTGTTAGAAACTGAAGGTAAGTACATTTTAATTCTTGCATATCAGACAAGATTATCTACTCTTTACATTTATGCAAGAAAAACCCCATGTGTTAGACAAGCTGTATGGTTTATATGAGGTCACCCCACGCTCCTTTTATGAATGAATTGTGCTCTTAAGGTTATGTTGTCATGCAGTTATGAATAAATTGTGTTGTAAGTTAATACACTTCTAAAAGAAAAAAGTGGCAAATGGAAATATAAAGTTTTTTTTCCTCCCGAAACATTATTAATATGTAAGAAAAGTAATCAAACACAGACTGTTGTTATATACAGGTATATCTAGTTCTGTATGGTAACTGTATGGCTGAAACTTGTCAGAGATTTGTTACCTCTGTGAACAGTTACCCTCGAGCTAGATATTCCAGTCTGTACCTGCAGCTGGTGTAAGATACATATAAGATACCATGGAGTGTGAAGACCTTGCTTTTTAAATAAGCTTTACCTTTGATGTTGACTTCAAACCACTTGCCTCTCACCCATTTGGGTTCGCATCCTGACATGGACTTTGGATTCTTTCATTTGAGGAAGCTATCCAGCTAGCTTATGGAACGTCAGTGGTTCTACTTAGGTACCCATTTGTGCCTGAAATAATGCACGAAAAAGCACATGAGGTCTTCCTCCACCAGTAATGCTGGAATGCGGCCATATGACCTATACTGTGTCGATGTGGTGTAAAACCTAATCAAACAAACAAATCTTTGATGTAGTTAAGCCCTAACAGGTTCAATGGAGGGGCTAAAAGTTTGTCATATTATTACCCTATCTACAGAAACTGGATCCTATGATTACTCAAAAAGAACTTAAAGTTTTTTATGAAGCAGATAACTATCTGGAAATTATTCTCATGACCTTGACTGGCAAGTTTAAAATTATTTTAATATGTATTGTATATATAAAATTAAAGGCAGATGTCTGTCACACAAAAGACGTAGTGTTTAATTAGTCTTTTCTACAAAGAGAAACAAAAGTTTTTCTCAACATGTTTAATACCAATATTTTACAGTTATAATTGACAAACCATCACCAGAAATGATGACATGCTGGGTTAAAGGTCGTCAGGCATTCTCGGAGGGTATAGAAGTATTTGAGAAAATAGAAGATATAGCTAACCAAGCTTTACTTCATTGTAATTGTGGTCGTCTTATGCGATTATGTGCCACAACTTACACTCAAATAGCGTTAAAATCCGAAAAACAAGAATTTACTCCTAATGAAAGGCATTATTTTCAATTGGTAAGTATTTTTTTACCTTGTATTATTTTGTCAAAACATTCTGAAATGGAACACAAGTCTGCCCTTAGATTGTCAAATACATTGTCTGTCCTAGGATGTTGGGATGCCAAAGTTATGTTAAGTTTTAAAAGATCAATTGTGAATTGCAGATTGTGTAATGAATAGAAAGTAATACAGAAAAGATGAGGAAATAGACAAGCACAACATGTGTCCCAATATTTTGACAGTTTTGTTTATGATACAATGATATTAAATCATTCATAGTGATGTTTGTGTTCAGACAAGATGGAATAAGTTCCTGAACATAATCTAACAAGTACATTACCTGGCATCATAAGCATATCTTTCTTTTAGTGAATGAGATTTATTAGCATAAAATGTCATTAAACACATTGCATATTTTTTGGGGCATAAATTGTTAAGTGCACTGTAAATGGAACTGCGTACTTGTATAGACAGTAGAGGTGTAACGATTCATCGATGCATCGATGCATCGCGATCTGCCTTGTCCCCGATGTATGCATCGTAATGAAATTACAAATTCCAATATATTGCGATGCAATACATATTTCACCTCCCGATGTATCGATACAGTGGGAAGGTATCGCAATACACTAACAATATCTTCTAGGAATATAAGGACAAACGTATTTTTTGAAAGACTGAAGAAAGAAAAATAGCTCGGATGAAAACAATAAACGAGCGCGACTATTATCATACCATCGTTGTCATCTCGTTTCCCCATGTCCGCAATCTTTTAACGGTTACTAACCAAGTTTTATCAATTTCATGTAAATGGGCTGGTGTTCTTTGAACTTGTTTATAATAAAAACATAATTAGAGATCTGTGCGATTTCAAGAAAAAACAACCTACAAACATGAATTTGTAATTTTATTTTGTAGCACTTAAATGTCGGATTAAAATAGTGATGATGACAACATCCCCATGTGATATTCGTCACGTATTTATACTTTCATTTCCGTTGACATCATTTTCCCGTAAAAAACAACAAAGCAAACAAACAAACAGAAAACATGAAGACTGCAAAATATGTAGACGGGGAAATTACAGTCAATCCTCCCTGGTCATATCAGTCATGAGTTTTGGGAACATTGTAGTTTTTGGGGAACCATCAGACAGTGTTGTATAATGTGGAAGATAGGACGTGGAGTCTTTGCAAAATTTGCAAACTCAAAATAAAATACTCTGGGGTTGAGCACAAATCTTTCGAGAAAACTGAGACTGATACTTATAAACTGTCATTTTCACAGTTGTTGACCTAATTGTAGATCCCTTGTTACTATTTTTTTTCACAAGAAAAATCTTTAGTGGTGTATTGTAAGACTGAAATTGTTAATCTGCCATATTTACAGTAGTGGACTTTAGTGTTAGAATAGTAAGTAGATATCAATTTGCTGTTATGGTTTAATTAAAAATACCTTTAATCCTCAAGTAATCAGAAAAGTAAATTGTTAAAAGATCAAAATCGGAAACCAAGTTATAACAACAAGTTAAAGAGTTTATTTTTTTGTTATTGTAATAGTTTTATATTATATTCGTAATTATGCTGTAAACAAATGGCCAATTTTTTATATACTAAGTCTAAAAGTCAGTATCGTGATACGTATCGCATCGCAACATAAGAATCGCAATATGCATCGCATTTCTTCAAAGTATGCAATACATATCGTGAATCGCATCGTTTTGAAAAACAAATATCGTGATATGTATCGTGACAGAAAAAAATGGCAATGCACAGCCCTAATAGACAGAAATTAATGTGAGTTAACTGTACAAACAAAATTGTTTTTTCTGAAAATGTCACCTGGACGGAAAGTGTGAAAAGGGAACTTACTCGAATGATCAAGGCACTATGGATGTTTTTAGAGTTGTCTCCCTTTAATTGAAAATGTCAACATAAGTGTATTAACCATATTTAAGCAAAGAAGAAAAATAGTGGTATTGTTACAGTCATAGCCACGTTCCATTGAACTATTTAGTTCTTGGTGTGTTGTCTTTATACTTGACCACAATCACTCTTTGGACAGGACGCTCAAATAGACCTGGCTAAAATTGACCTTCAATCATTAATATCCTTGACCTTCAAGGTTAAATGTGCACTAAAGTTTGCTCGATTTTCGCTATTAATGGCTATAACTTTCTTATTTTTTTTAATGAACTGTCTTCAAACTTGAACACAATAGTCTTTGAGGACAGGCCTTTAAGAATACTAGACAGACCTTGACCTTCACTTACAAATGACCTTGACCATGAAAGTCAAATTATTGACATTTTCTCTTTTTTTGCTGTAATTGGCTATAACTTTGCTATTAATGAATGGATTGACTTCATATTAAGACATAACATTCAATTAAAATTATTTTTGTTAATAAAAAAATTTAAGATGTCTATAGTTTGAGTACTGGTGCATTAAGATGAATATAAAAGATGGTATGGGAGCATACATGCCATATCGTCCCGTATGCCGGGACAGTCCCGGAAATAAGGTGTCTGTCCCGGAGGTGTCCCGGAGATGATTTATGTCCTGGTAAAAAGAAAATCTAAAATAATCTACTTTGATGCAAGAAATTTTACATTTTTATATAATTTTATTGTCAAGTTTTAATAAACTAGTCTAGAACGCTAATAACGAACGATAATCCCTTAACAGCATTGCGATGGTGACACTAATCCTTTGATTGGTATATCTACGTGCCCCTTCCAACAAACAATTATCGGCAATATTTTGATCAATTAAAAGATTAATTGTTTACCCCATGTGGCTTCCTGAGCGAAGGTGTCATACACTGTAATTAACAACTTGCTAGTATAAATTTAATCCGCCTGCAGGCAATAAGTGGTCAAACACCGAGAAAATTACCGCTAAATTTGAGGTGATAAAATCTACAAGATTCAGCTAATGTTTCAGGTAATCGACATGGCTAATTATTATTACTTAACATAGCTTTATTCTACTCTGTTACTGATTGAATTAACGATGCCTAAATACTTAAAAAAGATAGAAAAACTTTTAATAATTATTGACATTCTGTCTTTTGTTTATGGTGTCATTAAATTTGCAAGTTGTAAATACCGGTAATACAGTATAGCGGTTGTATGCCACTATGTAAATTAAAAAAAAAATACATTTGCTGATCAATGCCCCTCCTCCAAATGAAAAGTGTCCAGGAAATGAGTGTAAAAATTATGGCATGTATGTATGGGAGTAAGTGAAAGTGCATATAAAAGCAATGAAAGAGGAAAATGTAGGATCATGACTGTGATAAGGTATCTGAAGTGTATAATATGCTTTTAGATAGAAATCTTTGTAATTGTTGCTTTAAGCTTTGATTGTTTGCAGGAATTTGTCGCGGGACTTTTCCTTGATATTGCTAAATCGGTCTTAAAAAGCTCTTGAAAAGTGCTTAGATTTAGTTGACATATTTCTGTTTTGAACCCTGTAGTTTGTTTGGTGAGATACTTAACTTTTACCAGTTTAACTAACGAATAGGAATGGTCCTCGGATCGATGTTTATAGTAATTGCTCAAATGGTCCCAGTCTGTTGAACAAAATGGCAGTCAGAGCTAAAAATAGAAAAAGCATTAAATGACATTTTGTTCTCAACAGCCTGATAGATTTTGATAAAACTCTTAAAGAATCATGAGGAAATCCTTTACTATAATACAATACAATACAAATTCTTTATTCGCTTTAAGGCCTCCGGCCCATGCAAAAACATATATACAGAGAAACAATTTACACAAAATTATAGCATGTGCACAATGTTTAAACATATACTATATAAATTTAACTGAAAATAACTTTTAAGCATAAAAAAATTTTTCTGGGAGTTTCTTAATTATCATTTTGTATCTAAGACATATTAATTGTAAATCTTCCTTTTTTCAAAAGCGTAATACAAAAATGTTGCTGTACCCTTTATAAGATCATTATTTTTTGTAGACATTAATATATTAAATTTGTTTCGGGTTGGAGCATTTAGGTACTTAATCGGTAAATATAATTTTCTAAGTTCTGAATAAAAAATCACCACATAGTAAAAAATGAAATTCATCTTCTATTACATTCTTAGAACATTTTGTGCATAATCTGTTTTCCCTCAATATCTTTTTATGTCTACCAACCTCAATTTCAAGATCATGTGACCCTATTCTAAAATTTGAGTATATATATCTAAATTTCTAATGTCTAGAACATCTAAATAACATTCATATGAGAAATTTTCCTTAAACATACCATAAAAAGACAATTTTACATTAGAGGTTACAGATGAATGCCACTCTTGTAGGTATATATCTTTTAACCTATTTTCAAATTGAGCTATAAAGTATTTATCTGATGAAACAGATTGACTTTCCCATACATATCCAAAACCATGACTTTGTAAAATTTTTCTTAAAGATGTAACCCAATTGTCATGTCCCTGTATATCATCATTAAACATCATTAAGTAACACTTTTTAACTAATCTATCGTTTGGCATTTTAATAATTTTTAACCAATAGTTAATACACCTCTTAATGGATATTAAATACATGGGATACCTCCCGCAGTCGCCTAATACAGCTACATTGGATGCATTTTGTTTACAACACATAAAGCGTTTGCATGCATAATATTGTACTCGTTCTAGCTCTTCAAATTTACCCATGCCCCAAATTTAGCCCCATAAAGTAACTGAGGACATATTTTAGTATCAAATAGTTTAAAAAAATACTTTCTTATTTAATTGGCCACAATCATACAAGGATTTTAAGATTGATATAAAAACCCTCTTACCCTTTATGCATAACTCGTGTACCATTTTTTTCATAGAAAGTTGTCTTGTAAATGTTAAACCAACGTAACTAAAAGCATTAACAACTTCAATCTGCTTGTTTTTATAAGTCCATTTTTCAATTTTACATAATGTACCACCATTTTTAAAAACAACTATTTTTGTTTTACTTTCATTTACTTTAAGTTTATATGTATCGCAAAAAAATGACAAAGTATCTAACTGTTTTTGTAAACCAGAAACTGTATCTGAAAGGAGAGCAATATCATCTGCAAACATTAAAGATAAAAGTTGTGTCTCAGACGGGTGTAATTGAATTCCTCTTATGCCACTATCATCTAAAATATGTTGTAATTTC